TAATCTTGGGGTCCGAGGCCACCATCGGCCACCCCCTGGCTCCACCATTGCACCTTGTGGATAAATTGTCTCACTCCACTCCAGGGGATGTTAGGACGGCAGTTTTTAATAAAAAGATGTTTCTGAAGTCGATGTGTACTTTTTAAGTACCAACTCATTAGCTACTCTGTTGGCAAGCACAGAAACTGAAGTACTTGTATACAGTCTGGAAAATAATCTAGTATCAGGATGCCCCTAATTAACTGATTTTTCTTACAATTTTGGCCCTGAATTTCAGAGATTCATGCTGAGATTGAATTCTGTTTTTCTTTTATTCAGTTTGCACTAAAAATATAAAACTTCTTTAATTTTACACAAAACACCGAGCTCAGTTCCACTCAGTGCACACCAATATTCACCGATCTAAACCAGAGAACCCAGAACAATTGTACAAATTCTACTTCAAAAACTTCCAGTCGGCTGTTGTCAGACATTTTTTATCAGTCAGAGTCAGAGTTTCTTTATTGTCATTCGCACCTCATGTGGTACATGTGGTGGAGCGAAATTATGTACACGGGGTCCCAGTTACATCCAACAATAAAATGTATAAGAAAAACAGTAATAACATCTAAGATATGAACTAAGAAAAACATCAACTAAATATACACTAAGCACTCATAACATAAAACATTGAACATCACCACAAACATGAACATGAGTCTGTGAGCAGATGTGCACGCATGAACACATCAACATTGAAACAGATCAGCAGCAACATGAAACAGATCAGCAGCAACATGATATGGTTTTTCACAGTGATTATTCTAGTTAGAGATTCATGAGTCTAACAGCCTCAGGGTAGAAGCTGTTCCTCAGTCTAGTGGTTCTACACTTAATGCTCCTTAACCTCCTTCCTGAGGGGAGTGGGGCAAAAAGTGTGTGTGCTGGGTGGGTGGGGTCCTTCATGATGCAGGTGGCCCTCTTCCTGCATCTGGAGGTGTAGATGTCTGTGATGGTGGGGAGGCTGATTCCAACAGATTTCTGTGCAGCCTTCACCACTCTCTGCAAAGCTTTTCTTTCTGCAGCTGTGCAGCCTCCATGCCACACATTGATGCTCGAGCACAGGATGCTCTCCACTGCACACCTGTAGAAGGAGGTGAGGACTGAGCTTCCCAGACCAGCTCGCCTCAGCCGTCTGAGGAAGTAGAGTCTCTGATGAGCTTTCTTGATCAGGCTGGTGGTGTTGTTGCTCCAGCTGAGGTTGTCATTCATGTGTACACCCAAGTACTTGTAGCTGGAGACCACTTCCACCGCAGATCCTCTTATGTTCAGGGGGGTGTAGGTGTTTTTGTTCCTTCTGAAGTCCACAATCATCTCCTTTGTCTTCTTCACATTGATGTGAAGGTTATTCTCTCTGCACCAGCTCTCCAGGTGTTCCACCTCCTGCCTGTAGCTGGACTCATCATTGTTTGTGATGCATCCCACCACCGCTGTATCATCTGCAAACTTTACAATGTGACAGCCTGGATGGGTAGCTGCACAATCATATGTGAGCAGAGTAAACAG